TATTTCTTACAAAATATACTTTCTATTTTCACAGTGATAGTAAAAATTCATCTTAGATATCGAAAATTTTTTTCCCTTTCCCACAATTTGTTAATGTTTAAAATGCGCAAATTCAATTTACAGAATTAATTATATCCTTCCCTGCTGTTATGTGAAAACAGTCACCGTGTATGACGCGTGTCTTTATTATAGATTTACATGTATTGCTCATCAGTAAAAAAACGATCTTAACATGAGCTCCCTATGTAACTCCCCTTTTTTATCCCTTTTTACCAAGGTATTGCTCGAGGTTTACAGGCTCTATACACATAAAAACAGGATGGGAGGAGGGTGTCATTTCAAAAATCCCCTGCTAACATTAGTGCAGTTTTTGAAACATTTCGTAAAGTGATCCTTCAAGATAGCAAAAGCGCATTTTTTGGTGCCTTTCTCCCAAGTGATTTCAAATTACTTTATATATAGATAAGCTAAGAACTGATGAMATGTTTTTGTAAAAATGAATTTACTGCAAAGCGCCATACAGAGTGAGTGATAACACGTTCCATAAACTTTCCTAACTATTCTTAATTATCAAATCAGTGGTAATGCATTGGGAAGATTCTTCATGATACATTCCTTGCTTTAGGATTGTATCTTAGAACAAAGAAATCGTACAAAAAGGAAGTGAAAGATAATACGACTCGAAATCGAACACTTGATCGCGAAATCGAATTAACTTGCTAATTTTATGCAAAAAGAGCTGAATCGTCCCATGGATTCTACATTTAAGGCCAAGGATTTCGTTCCCCATCATTWTATTATGTACAGAGATAGATTATTTGCTGTCAGAGGGATGAAAACGATTGTCATGAACGCAACCCTCTTTCTCGCTGTCGTGCAATCCGACTTAATCCGACTCTTACAGAGGAAGAAAAGCCTAACCTAAAGTGTTCCATTCTATCAATACATATGCAAATAAGTTGAATCGATGTACTCGCGAATTTTGAACTTTTTTGTGAAAAGCAGTTTTGAACAACTTAACATAAATATTCACTCAAATCAGGTTGACTGTGATATATTTGAAGGTCGTAGGGAATCAAATGACTTAATATATTTATACACCAATAGTCTCAATAGTCTTTATCATAGTTAGTAACTATACTAACTATGTCTTTATTTTACCTACCAGTCTCACCCACACAATTGTTGAAATAGTTTGAAGACGTTCGTCCTGCAAACAACAAAAATAATATTCACAATTCTATTGGTCAGATAGAATATGAATTATGAAAGTAGCAACAGGGAACAATGGGGGCGTTAAACCCGTGAATGACAGTTAGTGTATATTAGTCCAATAATATATCAGTCATGATTCTGTTTCACGGACTTCAAGTGAAGCCGTTAAGCCCGTGAAAGACAATCTAATAGTTAGAGTGTATAATAGTCCAATAGTATATCAGTCATGATTCTGTTTCACGGACTTCACGTGAAGCCTTTAAGCCCGTGAAAGACAATCTAATAGTTAGAGTGTATATTAGTCATAATATATCAGTCATGATTCTGTTTCACGGACTTCAAGTGAAGCCGTTAAGCCCGTGAAAGACAATCTAATATAGTTAAGGTGTAATATAGTCCATTGATGCATCAGTCGTAAATCTGTTTCACGGACTTCAAGCGTAGTCATTAAACCCGTGAAATATATATGAGACCAATACCGGTGGGGTGTCTTCTAAGTACTCCATTGTTTTCTTTTTGTATATACATTATATACTAAGCCACTGTTTCATGGGTTTAGAGTGATTAAAAAAAACCCGTGAAACAAAGTACAATAGTCAAAGTGTACATATTGTGTGATACAAAGACTAACGTGTCAAACTAATGAGTGTTGTACGCGAAATGTATGAAAACTGTCATATAATTATCTATGAAACACCTATATTTCTCCATTTCGTAAAATTGATATACTAGTGAAAGTAACACATTCGAGGTTTCTCTATATAGTGGAAGTAAGAAAAAAGGTATTTTACGACATAATTTGCTTTCATATGTAGTTATATGATAAACAGAATATTACATGGTCGCTTGGAGATACGAATTTTATCTTCTCGTGTTCAAAAATCTCTTTTCAACACTCGAAGATGAAATCCGTATCGCCCCGCGCCCATGTAATATCCTCTATATATCAAACCTTTYACAAAGAAAGCAAAAACTCCGAAAATGGATAATAATACTATCTTAGACCCTAGAAATCGCCAAGTCCGTTGTTTTCAATCGTTTCATCTTGATTATTTAATGTTGTTTCATGTTTTTTTGGGGGGCCTTTATTGGTATCTCTTCTCGGATCTATTTCTCAGGTTTTAATGCTTCCAATAATGGAAAAATAATTTCAAAATGATAACCTAAGCATAAATAAACAACATTAACACATCATGAATACGTGACGCGCGAGAAACCTCAGCTGATAAAAGTCTCATATGAATTTCTGATAAGTTATCCCATCATGTGAAAGCCCCATGTAATTATACCCCCATTTTTTCATTGTTTCAGAGATATATTAAAGCCTGCGACTAATTGTATASTTATTGTTATCTGAAAAGCTATTATAGAGCGGTTTTCATTAACCCGTGTTCTACACTTTGTAACTACTTATTTTGCAGGTTTTTCTTAGCCTTTTCTGTGTATCGCAAAGTATTACACTTTATAGTTTAAAAACTATAGCTTTGTTTCAGGGTTGTGAAAGTTACTCTACKTGAAGTTCCAATTATATGCTAGAACAACAAAATGCTTTCAAACGTGTATCGTGTGCTAGGCAATACTCACTAATTATTGATTTGATGTGATGTATCTAAAGCTAATTTTCAGTTGAAACAATTTTTTTTGAGGTTTTTGAAAAAATACGTGTTTTGGGTTAAAACCCCAGTAAACTTTTTATTATTCAACATCAAGCCACTGGAATGCAAAATGAATCGTTTTTATTCATGATTGCGGGAAGAGAAACTTCGAGTTTAGTAATCGAGATCCAAGATACCGTTCAAGTGCTCCAATAAAACTTCGAACSTTCTGGAGTATTAGTTACGAATTTTTTCTACAAGATCGAACGTTTCATCGTAGTTAGAAAACCATTCGTGTGTTATTGAATAAACTATTAACACGCTAAGAAACCTGTTGTATTACCAACGGAAAACCATTAACATGTCAAAATACAGAATGAGTAATCGTGCAAAACTTTTGATGCTTGCAAAATCGTAATCTTGCGTTCTAGAGAATCTCTCACGACAACTGCAGCATAACGAATCTACATTGCAGGTTTTTTTTGTATATTTGTACAGAATCAAGTCGAAAAATCCAAATTCTGTGCAGCATTCTTCTTCTCTTTGGATGAAAAAAAAAGGATAAACCATCATTCATATTCATGGGATTCAATTAGTTGAAAAAATTGAGGGAAATGTTTTTGTTTTTGAAAAGGAAAATTGCTCTGGGTGGTCCTTTTCAAAATATGCACAATTTCAGAATGATGTTGAATGGAAAATAAAAGCTTTTATAGTCTTGGGTTTTCTTGAAGTAATCGGACAAAAATCTTGTATCGTTACTCTCTTTATTTTGCTTTGGAAATATCCATATATATATTGCATGTAATCATACATTGMAATCGTTTTAGAATTTCACAACACACACACAAAAAATAAAAAAATATGGAATATTTATGAGTGGTTGTAGGGAGTTCCTATAAAACAACGGCTCGATACAYTTAAAAACTTTGTCCCCAAATTAGAACTATGAACCATTTTCAGATTCGTAAACAAAACACAAAGGAAAACGCATGTCATTTGATAATTCGCATCAAAAAAGAATGAAAATCATATGACACAAAACCGACTTTGAACAAAAACAASGCAGGCTATTCTTATACTTTTGTAAATAACCAGCCGATCTGAAATTTAATATAGCATTTCTCAGTGGTCCTTAGAATCAGTGTTCCTTTTAAGGCTTTAGTTTTGGTTATAAAAATCGTTTCAACCACATTTGACAATAAGATGGCGGCACCCAGTTGCGCGAATTACTATAGACGCTGAATTGACGTTTGAATGGCCCATTTGTCCGACCAGAAAGTTTCATTTTTCTAAACAAGAGGTTGTTTTGATACGGCTTACAAAACGAATTTTAGCTTTTTAATCATGACTCTTCTTTGTGATGCCAGGTCATTGAATAATAACGTGGGAAACATAGTTACGGCTACTGTTGTGTTGTGTGGGCTATCGCAGTGTTAGAGTAGCGGTATCACAGCGTCCAATTTGCTATAAGACTTGGTATTGGACCAAAGTCCTGGTTCTTAGATAGTTAGAACTGACTCGAAAGAAAAAAAAACATGCGGAAATCGGTGGGACGTTCTAGAGAGTTTTTCTCTTGGCGTCAATTTCTGATCGGTAGGATCATTAACAGTTGAACATGATACTTTGAGTGTTATTTTAGAACGTTACACTCGAGCTGCAAATGCAAAACATCTATTGTGAACAAAGCCGATAAATTATTAAGCATTTTCAACGACCGAAAACTACGCTCAGACAACCAAGACTATAAGAAGCGAATATTATGCGCTGTCCAACCACAAAACACAAAAAATCTCTATCTTTGCAAGTAAACATAGGTTTTTCTTTTTCATATTTATTGTTTCGAGAGGTTCGGCTTTTTCAAATCGTTGAATTTTGGTTTGAGGTTAGCGGAGATATAATCTGACATTCCTATAACAATAAACCCAACCGACGTTCAAGTCTCTAATCGTATCATAATTTCTCAGCGTTTTGCAATTGGATTGCTGCAAACGTTTCTCAATCGGTCATATCCCTTGAATCTCCACATAGTGGGCCGCCCCCAAACGTCACCTTACAAAAATACAAGCGAAAATATGACAGTAGAGTACACTACGGACAGAGTATATGACATAAGTATTGCTTACCAGGTCAATAATCTGGTTTAAMGCTATATCGAAACGAATCTTGATCGGGATATTCTTGTGCTTCTGTGGGATGATATTTTTGCTGTAGTTTGAAAACAAGTCGTTTTGGAGCTTCTCCAGATGGTTGAAATGCGTAGCCTCTGAAATATGAAATATCAAGTATATATTTGCTAATTTCTCGATACTTGATCAAAAATTAAAAAGCCCTTGAAAAAATTCTATCGGAATTTTACAATCCACACTCAAAATATACCCTGCCCTYAKAGACAATCATATAATTCAATTTACATAAGGTAATTTGGTGGAAAAGTACGTGTGCTTCGGCTATAGACATCAAAAGCTAAATGTGTGCGGATTTCAAGAATGTGAAAGAAWAAAAAGTTGACTAAATCTCTGTTAATAGGTCTTTGGGTAGTAAAATTCCATTGTTATTGCCAGAGTATTCGGAGGTTTATGTTATACACAATAGCATAACTGTTTCAAAATGCAACATAAAACTCAAAGTTACTCGTATCGATTACATGAGATCCGCAAAATCAACATTGGAATTGTCGATAGAGTAGAATCAATGCAACCTACCTTGGGTCAAGGTTCGACTAGTCATCYCAAGCAAGGCGATAATAAATAAGAGGCCCACCATCCTAGAGGAACATRTAACCCCGATTAGGCTATCCCAGATGTGAGTGTATTTATAACGTAGGCTCTCTTTCAGTGACTTGTATCACCTTGGACGATTCACAGCTGCTTGCTACCTCACCGAACTATCGTCTGTAATGATTATTAACAATTACAACTTGACAACTGATCGAGAGGGGGGTTGCAAATATGCTCGACCGACGTTGAAATTCAAGTTTTCTTGCAAAAAGACATCATGCTAGCCTCCGTCCCGTGGCTACCATTCGCTGTTGTGGTCAAGCAGCTAGCCAGTGCGATAATAAATTAATCATGAGATACAAAGGATTCTTGTTAGGCAAATCGGACAAAATGTAGTATTGGTTCATATGTATCCGCTAGGCGCAGAACTACAATACATGTAACCTTTTTTCCTCTTTGGTTTTCAAGGTTGTCTACATAGGTTTGAGATTTGGGTTTTTGGTTTATTAATATAACCGATACTTTTAAAATATGCAGTGTTTTAGGTAGGCAATCCACTGAAATTAGAAATAATCTACGTTGGATTTAATTGGATTAGATTTTCGCTGTACATATTTAGAGTTCTTCGTCAGCCAAATTGTCTCATCGATAACTTGTTTTAGACCGCAGAATAACTGTTTGCTATCACACAGAAATTGGAATTTTCTCGTAGTATTAAAGTCGTCTTGGTGCAATAAAACGACTATTAAGACACCAACTGAAGCATAACAATATACAACTCGATAATTGCTAGATTTACGTTTTTCTCATTTTCATCTATCGTCTTCTCGTTATTATCAATTTTATCACTTTCAACTTCTATTCTATTGTTTCCTTTCAGTATTTTGATAACTCTTAACTTTCCTTTTTGTACGGTAAAATATGAACACTAACAAAACAAATAATAGAATTATTAAAAGTAGTTCACAATTACTTTTAAAGTAAACAATTCACGCCTTTAAAATGTTTCAAAAGGTGAATATAAGAAGCAAATATTCCACTCTCCTGGATTAATACCTYAGTCGATTGTTTTTTGACAAAGTGTACCAAAACAAGCCATGCCGTCTTAAATATTTTTGGTTTGTTGTTGTTTTTTTTTTTTTCGTGTTACTCTTCAACACCCTTTTCGCAAAAAAATCTGTTTTACCAAGTTTGGTCGCGTCATAAAAATTTTACTTTGTTATTGTCGATTGCATTTTGTGTAAAATWACCTACTGTTACATACATTACTCCCCATTGCTTAAGTCATTCAATATGTACAATTTTTTATCGAAAACAACTCCATTTTAATGTGACCAATAACTTTGGAATGGTAGAAGTACTCAGACACAGTCCAATCTCGTCTTAGAATCATAATCCATTTCCTTAAAAAACTGAATATGTAGAATTTTCTTATCAAACACAATTCTTGTATTATTGTTATCTTCTTGGCTAATTGTATCTTAAGTAGACAAACCGCTTCTTTTATGATAAAGTTTCCGTAATTTTTGATATTTAAGACTTTTAACCACAAGTTTCTTTGTAAAATGKATAAATAACTGAGCAAGCACATGTTATTTTAAAATGCAAAAGTCACAATTAATGGTAATGCGTTTTGTTTAGTAGGCCAAAGTAACACTTACATATGCCATGTTTTTGGCCAAGAAATCCAGTAAAATTAGATTAGATAATCTGCAAAAGGAATAAAAACTCATTTGCTACATAAAAAGCCGTTTCAGTGACAGAACAATCGCACGGTTGTATAAAAATCATATTTTTTCTCTCACAAGAGTTTAATAACCAGTACCGAGTATTTTGGTGTTTGACCAAATTGAAGCTAACAATTTGTAATTAGCAAAAGAAGGGGCAGTTTTAAATCTCAAGGTTATGATAGGATTAGGAATGCAGGCAATAAATTATTGAAAAATATCAATTTTGCAATGATTTTTTTTCCGTGTAATTGCAAGCATTCGAGGTTTTTCTAATGCAGGTTGGAATAATCCCCTGATACCAGGTAGTATAAATAAATTATCACTGTCTCAATTTGAAGCATGATATTAGAAGCCAATCTCTCTTTCCTTCCTCTTCCTTTCCTTCGTCCCTCTCTCCTTTAATCCTTCCTTTCAACCATCCTCTTCTCTTCCCTTCCATCCTTGCTTCCATTCTCCATCTTTCATTCCTTCCTTTTTTATTCTTTTYTTCCATTCTTTCTGTTTTGTCTCTTTCACAATCTTTCTTCCCTTTTCTTTAATTCTCATCTTCCTTTCCGATATGATTTTATCACTTTTCTTTTTATTTAGTGAATTTTCAATTTTCTCTTTTATTGCTTCTTTTCCTCTTTTTATTTCRACTTTCTTTCTCGACATTTCGTGTGTCTTTTATTCTAAACGCTTTAAAATAAATGGCTTTGATTGCGATCTTATTGCTGTCTTCCTTRTACAGTGGAACCACTTATGTTGTATCGGTCAAAGCGTTCTACAACTGCTGCCATTGCTGTAGGGGCAATTTGTATAGCAATTGTAAGTCACAAAGTCCACGTCCAAATCCACTACCCTTGTCATTACCGACTGTCGTACTTGTTCTTGCAAAGAATTTAAAAGTTTGATATACCCAAATGACTTTGTTGTCTTTGTCTTTACAAGTGAGCAACGTTAATTGGATAGATAGTACATAATCATATTCATATTTTACACCAACTAGATTTTAATTACAGGTCCACATTTGTACARTAAAGGTTTACAGACAATGATTTTATACAATTGCATATTGCCAATATATTATCAGCAAGATTATTAAAAAAAATTGTCATAGTCACTTTTCTTCTTATTTTTTTTTTTCAAAATTATAGTACAGATATATTCTAAAATATATCGTAAACCTTCGGTATACCATATAGGTCTCTCTTTCTATTTTCATTATTCGCGACATTTTGAAAGACGACAAATGTACGAGCCTAAAAGTCAATTAGTTTGTCTCCTTTTTTCACTGACAGTGTTTTCCTAATCGTAAAAGGCATGAGTTGAAATAGAGTTAATAACTTGGGTTAGCACCACGTACTTGACAGTGTTAAAGAATTCTTGAAAATCGCTGAAAAATGGCTGTCGTTTTGACGAAAAAMMCCGGTGAAATAATCATTATGTGCTATYTYATTCCATAAATAAAAATYAYCAATGACAGTTCTTTAGTTTGCTTTTTTCAGAGTTTTTTTCTAGCAATTTTTTATTAAAAACAAAACAAAACAAAATACACGTAAGAAAAAGGAAATTAAAAACTCACTTTTGTGGTCTTTTGTTTGTTTGCYCTTATTTAATTGCAATATTAAAGTCAATTTTAGCGCCTTCTTTTTCAATCATTTCACATCATTGAAACAATGCCCGCAGAGAATCAAATCAAACTTKGCCTTTTGTTTGTTGCCTGTCAGTTCACAGAAATTGCGTGCATGCGCGCACACACTGAACCTAAAAGCAAAATCTGCTCTTGTCAGTATTCAGTTACTATGAATTCAGGACGCTCGTGTGAAATTCTAGTCTTGCAAAATGCATGGAAAGAGGAGACGCAAATGGGCCTCAAAAAAACTTCTTTCGCATTTGCAAATGAKGTTCCGATGGAAAKATCTCTGAGAGACAAAGAGCAGGAGGACAAATTTGTTGAAAAGGTAACTTAAAAACTCCCGCTTGACGCTCAGTATACTATTCAGGTAGTTTAGCTTGTGGAAGGTTTCATCAATGGTGGAGTTCTAGAACAAATGATMGCTTATTAAACTGTTCATAGACTCTTGAGCARTTAAAAGATTTTGAGGTCGGCATAATGATAAAAGCTAAAAGACTTGCCTTAAGTCAGGTYTTACGTAACCGTCATACCCATTTARAAAGAAAATTGCTGAGGAATTTAATCGAGTTAAAGGGCACTTAGATTGGGAGCAGAGAGCGAATTGCCGCGACCTTGCGAGAAAAACTGCCTTAAAATCAGAATTTTAAGTCAACTTGAAGTGATTTAATGGAYTTAAGAGGAAGAAAGCCGTGAAAATAAACTAATTGAAATCTGTGAAACAATTAATGGAAAGAAAAGGTATACTACTAGTAACTGGTTGATAGCAAACGTATTAATACACTAAATAAACCCGCTATTGCTAGGATATGCTAGCGATAAAATGGAATGGYGTAAACTGAAATTTCATTATCACTTTGGCACTAAATATGCGAATAAGTTGTAGTCCAGCTACTTTAAGTAAAGGAGATTTTTTTAACGAGAGGTAAGACCTGACTTCTTATTTTAAACACCATTGAATTATCAAAGTTTTGATTGCGGTAGAGTTTGAAAATATCACGAAATATACAACAGTTACGTAATATGAAGTTCATTAAAAGTCAATAAGTCACGTTTATGTCATTATAAACACTATAAATGAGTCTAAAATTCATGTAAAAAAACAGTATTTTTGAAATCTAATCAAACCCATAGTTTTAAACGAGTTTACTGATTTTTCAATTTCAATATTTGAACCCGAGTTTTTAGTTTAAAAATACATAGAGAAATGTTTTTTTAATTATAGTTATTTTAATAATTAAGACTAAAACAAAACATTTCACAGCCGAGAATGTTATGTAATCACACGTTACTAAATTCTGAAATATACGATGAAAACAATGGTTATGTAATACTAGTGGGGGAAAATTACTCCAAGATTGCAGATGTACGCCATTTTAGAGCTAGYTGTATAGCCTGCTTTTTTCATTGAGCCTACTGGGCCTCTCAATCAAATTCTACAGATTCCACTGAAGACAAATGTTTATTCAAATAGATTAGGTTTCGAAGGGAGAAGGGTTTTTTGATATCCAATTAAATCTCAGTCTCCTCCTTTCCTTAACTTTTATTTTCTATACTCCGCGATCCCTAACCACAAATACAAGCTTTATTAGATACTAATATATTAGTATCCTACAAWTAAACTTTTTATTGATGTTTTCATTGGCGCTTGTTTCAGGTTCGACGCTTGATGAAGTYATGTGACCTGTCATCACGAAAAGCTATGGACGAGGCTCGWTTGGATCTTATTCTTGAATCGTTCGATGGYGATGGAAAGAGCTGTGCCTTATATTTATTGACCGAATGGAGCTATGAGCCACATGTATGTTCGAAGTACGARCCCCTSCCCCTCCTATATCATGTGTATGTACCAAGTCCCACCCCACCCTCCACAAGATGCATTTTTTAGTTATAAATATCACCCCTTCTTATGTATGTTCTAAGCATTACCCCTCCCCATCACACATAYGTACTAGTATGGATTCACTGGAATGCATATTCTACACAAATCTCATTCCAACACAGGAGTTCGTATTCTATAAAACCAGACTCCCCCTCCCTCCCTTCCTCCCCACCCCTCCCTCCTCAAAAAGAATCCCTTCTACACATTAATCTTACCTTAACACAGGAATTTCATTTGCTGTTTCAGATCAATCGATACTTGCAAATGCTGTACATGCGCGGATTGTACAATTCTCTGGAGGACTATCAAGATCACTATGGCAACAATCCTCTACATCTTTCCGCTGCCAGAGGACATATCACTGTTTCCCAGTATCTCGCGGACAAGTATCCTCAAATGGTCATGAGTACGAACTCCGAGAGTGACTTACCCGTAGAAATCGCTTTGAAGGGTTGTCATGACGACGTGGCAGCTTTTCTTATGAGACGAATGAGCCACTATAGGTAAAGTCACGTGGTACACTTTCACCAATAGAAACTTCTACTCGCCCTCAGTCTGAGTCAACCGTTATCTACAATAATAACATAACGCCCATCCCATACATCTTTTCCACATTTTTTTTTGTCGGGCTTCATTGTTTATCAATTTTATGATACACTTTTTCCCCCTATTTTGTAGTGTTTTGGAGCTCTTTAGAGCTACCAAATCTGACAAGGCAAGAATAAACTTTGTGGAAGTTGTACGCAAATTTACCATGCAGGTTGGTGAAAAGATATCAGTACTGCAGTAATATCTGATAGCCCTCCTTGATACTAACACCTTTGACYACGAAATCAATGCACCTTGTGTCTTTAGTATAGATTTTTCAGCAAATAAGCTTTAAGAATAGTCTTCTTCACGGTTCCCTGCGCCATCTTGAAAGGTAGCCGTGCCTTTGCATTGAAGCGAGACAACCGTTGAGCGTGCAATGATAGATACCTTTTTTCACACCTACAGACAATTATTCACAGGTATCTATCATTGCACGTTCATCGATCGTCTCGCTTCGATGCAAAGGCACGGCTACCTTTCAAGATGGCGCACGTAACCGTGAAGGAGACTATTCATGAACAAGTATTGTATAATAAACACTTGATGTATTACACTCCACTCCAACTACGAACAGCTGTATATTACTTATAAAATTATGAAGGATTTGATTATAAGGGTTACTACCATGAAATTGTCGTGATATATCGTTTTTCTTTTTCATTTTTGACCTAGTGTTACACTCATAAACACTCCTTCTCATGTTTCCACCCTTTAGAAAACCATTTCAGTGATATTAGACGCAATGGTCATTCCAAAGTGGCCCTATCCAGTTAGTCTTCACTATCACAACACTTTGATAGGAGAGTGGCAACAGCTTGAAGATCAACCAACTCATTTTGAAATTCGTTACGATCTGCTCGATGTTGATCAAAATGGCCGCGATCCGCATCATCCCGAGTACAAGTATTGTCCAAAGTCCGCGTTTTACTATATAACAAGGCATTGTAATAAATCGCTGCAAAAGGTACTGTATTATGGTGTTTTCTTAACCTTCCTTTAATGCCTTTAATATCTTAACTGTGTATRTTGAGGTATACAACCATTTCAGAAAACGTTAGCAACTCAATACTGAACCATTACTAAAATGCATTACAGGCTGCTATATCCTCGCTAAATGGAGATTTCAGTCTGTTTGAGAGTGACTATGCCAGCTCATTACACCTAATTCCCTTCTATAGAAATAAAATTTAGTTTAGAATTGTTATATTGCAACGCAGCTAAGGAGATAATACCAGCAATGCATTTCGGTCTTGGAATGCACTGCGTAGTGTCACAGCATTCAGCAAGCAACGTCTTCAGAACTATAATATTATATCACTTAAAAATCTTTTAAAATTCATATATACATGTATACACACATTTTATATTTTTCAAGAATATACTGTTCCATCCAGTTATCAAGTTTGCATCGGAGAGAAAGTGGCAAAAATACGCAAAATTTTGGTTTAGGTTAGTAATTATGCATCTACTATCTGTGTGATGTGTTGTAAGTGAAATTTTGACGTCGCATTTTCTGGTTTTTTTTTTCTTTTCTTTTGTAATTTCACTTCCAATCGTCCAATTCAATTTGTAACCGTTTCGATATACGAATATTTACCAATTTTATTATTTTTGCTATCATCATGCCATCAATATATCATGGTGCTGTTGCCAATATGTGCGACGACATCACACGAAGTCATTGACGTGTTATATGTATAGTTKAAAACACGAGAGAGAGTGTTTGTGCTTGACCAAACGATATTGCTTTGGCGGGAAAATGTATATTATTATGCGAAGTACAGGCCGTTGATAGAAACTTACAATTGAGAAAATGTTTTATGTCTTATAAATTCATATATCTACTTGTTCTTCTGCTTTTGATAAACTTGATTTTGATCGGGAAAGAGCAACATTGTCGATGAGGAATAATATTTATGGAAACACAATTATCGTTTTACAATCGCGTACTTCTGATTGTGTTCTTCACATAACCACAACCATTCGTTGCACTTGTCAACATACGTGCAAGTCAAAGGTCCAAAGTCTCGTCCTTTGGCTGCTACTTCTAAAAAACGAGAAAGTTCAGTACGGCTAAGACCATCAGATGATTTGAGATCCGTTAGATCATCCTTGGGTGACCGTAGTGAAGATTTCAAGTGRGGGTACTTCTTAAGGTAGTCATCAAGAAGATCTTTGAGCTCTTTGCGCATCTTCTCTGCTCCGACAGCTGCAGCAACGCCTACTTTACAATGAGGATCAATGGCAGAAGCGATTTGGAAAGGAGCTCCAAGAGCTGAGATGACTCGGAGAAGCTTACAAACTCTTCCGCCATGTGTTTTGAAAAACTCTTTGGGTTTCCCAACACGGAATCCAGGAGATGATAAAAAGTGCCATTCTTCAGGAGCTTCACAGAGAAGGTGAACTGCGAATCCATCTCGTAGGTAGGAATGAACAAAACGATCTTTCAGAGAAAGGCTTGAGAGATTGATGGGTAAAACAGCAAAGAGTTTGGGGCAATAGTGGTCTTCAAGTACTTCACCCATTATTCTTSCTGCTTGAAGGACTGCCGATGGTATAAGATCAGACGAACTCATTTTCCCTTCTAGGATGTCGTCAATGCTGCCAACTTTGTGTCCTTTGTTGCAAAACCCATGATGTAAATCATCAAATGCTAAAGTACATGGACTGTGAAGCTTTTTCATGTCGCATTCCGGGCAGACAACTCGTTCATCGTATGTCATACCAGGATATCGTCGTGATTTCACCAGTTCRATTGTAGACTCGACATCGGGAATCATGCAGCAAGGACGAGGACCACGTATTGTTACCTTCATGGTGTTTTTGTAGGGCATCAATTCGAAGTGAATTCTATGAGAAACCACTGCGTCTTGGGTTCCATTTTTTGCACCTGCAGTTTTCATCAATCGGTCTTCAGTGTGACGTGGGCACCTATGGTCATCGTTTGTAATGTAAACTACGTTGAAGCGGTAGTACAAAGGTTGCACATTTGAAGGAAAAGATGCTCTTTTCTCATTGATGGCCACAATCAAATCTGGGAAGAAAGATGKAGCAAGAAAACTAAATGTGAGTAACAGACTTGTTTGGCTTTCATTGGGTTTGGGTAGCGACGGCCACATTTCGCTATTAGGCCAGCCAACAGGCAAGCTGCAAGGAAAGAGATCTTCCACTCCTGAAACACTGAAACACAATCCCACATTCCTGAAGAGAGTGATCAACCTGGATCGGTTTTCTTCTGTCATGTCTTTCCAAATCTCTGGCAGCTTTGAATGGTGCAGGATACCTTCACAGACGGCATCAACATGTGGTAGATGAGATATGAGGGTCCGGAGTTGGTTCGAAAGCCATTGCGGCTCCAGAATGACAACATCTTTCATGACTGGGAAGTCTTCATACCAGAGAAAATCGCCTTGTGCATGGAAGAATCGGAGCATAGCTGTTATAGTACTCTGATTGTCTATTTGTGATTCATATCCCAGGTTGTAAACTTGTGATATTTCCAGAATAGGCTGTTTTACTAACTCTTCGCTTTGAGAAAGCTTAAACTTCACTGAATCTCGAAAAGCAAGCCATTTACGTGGAATATGTTCACTGTTAGTGTGGAGCTTGATTTTCTGAATTGAGTTTTGCAGTTGACGCTTGAGACTTTTAACGTTTTTGTTGGTAACACCGCTAACTTCAAAGATTCCTAGGATATGTGGAATACTAGGTTGATCATCCGCTTCTTCTAATCCAATCTTATTCTCTTCAGAAAGAACTTCGGTTGCTTCAGGTCCGATGTCATTTGAATATTTAGGGAGAACTTCAGTTGCTCCAATTCGGTTTTCATTCGATTCTCTCGGGGAAATGTCATGTGCTCCAGATTGTTGGTCAGTAGATTCTTCAGGCGGAACGTCACTCTCTGTAGATTGGGTTCCATTGGATGTTTGAACAATGTCAACGTCTTCAGATGTCTTGTCAAGAATGTCTTCCTGTGGGTCGTCAGACAGGTTATTACAAAGCAAACATTNGCTTGCTCCTCGTGAAACGCTTTGAGATACTGAACAACTTCCTGTGCAGACTTTTGCAACACATTTTTGGGTGGAAAGACGATTTGATCGTGGTTGCATCGCAGTTTGCGAAGATTGTCAAGAAGACTTAGAGATTCTGGAAGCATCTTGAAACTGCTACAGGTAACATCTAGAACTTCTAACTGGCTGAGCATTCCTATGACGGTAGGAGTTTGGTGGATGTCGGTGTGGCATTCGTTCAGAATGAAACACTTCAGTGAAGAAATGACCTTGGAGGGGAAGGTGAGTTTGGATAGATCAACTGCAGTATCAATGATGATAAGATTTTGTAATCTCTTTAATGCTGATAGAAAGTCCAACTTAAGAGTTCCATCACAGCTGATAATAACTAAACTCTTAACATATATTGATCCACAAGAACCAAAGAAGGAAGTGATAGAAGAACAATCCTCTCTAGCAAACCTGATGGAGGTAGTAGACTCTTTAGGAAAAGCCCCCTTTGCCAAATCTGACCCTCGTTTGCTAAATCGTACTTTCCAAGAAGCCGTGCGAAGCTGTTCCGAGCACCATAATACCATACTTGGCTTTGAATACTTCATTCGAATATAATCGATATCAAAATTGCAATTTTCTAAAAGAAATGTGTCAATGTCTAGAGTTCTGCAAGCCGAAAAATCTCCATAAGACACCAGATCATTCGATAGTACAGCACAGAACTTCTCATCAAGACATTSTAGTTGGTTTCTCATCACCGAGTCAATTTTAGGACACATCTGAGATGGATCCACATTCTGGATGATCGACCTCCACTCTTCATGCATAGATATCTTGGAGAGCAGCAAACGTTTCAAATTCTGACTTACAATTCCACTATACTCATAGCTCTTTTCAAAAGTAATGCGGATTGCTTCTTCCAAAACTTCCTGGACACCCTGGTTTGACTTAGCAGAGCACTCCATGTACTTCACTGCGCCAAGAAGATGAGCGAGACACGGGCCAAACTCACATGGAAATAGAGGATGGCTGGCTTCTGTTGAATCTTGCCGTAAGTCGCTCTTTAGTCCAACCAAAAGAACAGGTTTCGAATACTGTGTATGAAAACAGGGAAACCTAGTAGTTATTATGTGTTCAAGTTTTCGTGGATTGCTAATGTCGAAACATTCAATGATGATGTCTGCATATCTGTAGTGCTCTGATGGGTTCAAGTTCACGAAACCTCCATCCAACCCGCTCATATCCGAGAAGTGAATGTGGCCAACGGTTGCAGGTATCATGTGAACACCAGAGGTCAAACGACGAAGTAGGACTGATTTCCCTGCTGCACTTGGGCCATCCAACACAATTTTCAACTTAGGCTTTGCTTTAGTTGACGAGTTTCTRGAGCTTCTTCTTCGCATTCTTRAAACGAGTTTTCAAAATCTCCTGGAATAAAGGACATTTTCGTATAACACGTTATATTATTGGTATCTCGAAACATATTGGTCCTGAACTTTTCAAACTCCAATATTATCACGAGATTTGAAACCAAGCAAAGTATGTCGGATTATATGAATCAGGATGGCCCGATTTCTTTTAAGTTTGATGTTGTAAATACATAATTTTATATGTCCCGATGCTTTCTTTAAACTGATTTAATTCTCGTTTCATCTGTCGACAAGGTTTCAGGGTTGTTTTTTTTTTTTTACATTTTTAACTGAATTTCAAAAGGAAAGACTGGTTAGCATACAATACCATGAAATCTAATCAATGCAGTTTTTTGATCGAATATCAACCTCCCTTCATCAAATACTTGAGGAGAATAGCCCATTTAAACTTTATAGCCTGAGAAGAAGTACCTTTTGTTGTAATGAGATTAGCACTCGATYACTCAAGATCAGTTCGCACCTAATCCAAGTTAAGTACTGGATCTTTTCGATATGATCTGCGCTACGGTCCGAGTTCGAGTCAGTTTTGGACGATCGACCTTTGCCCTGAAACGTACACGGTTATATGGAGCAAAAATACAATGTTGTTGTCTGAAATCTTCGCCGTTACTTGGTTCGGTATAACCTCAACTCAATGGGTACTTTCTAAATACTGAATTTTTAACCAGCATCGATAATTCCAGAATTAAACCCTGATCCTGTTCCAGAGAAAATTCGTTGTAATCGATACCCTGTGCCAGAGTAAAATCGCTAAAAACGATACCCGGTCCCAGAGTAAAATCGCTGAAAACGATACCCTGGTTGGCGGCACGTCCCCGTATAGCGAATATAGGGGAGTACCTACAATTCAAAAACACACAAGAATGGAATTAAGTCATTTATTCTTTATATCATTTGTACTGTGATATAAAAAAAAATAAAAATAAAAAAAATTAATGACTTAACTTGTATCTTGTGTTTAGAAAACGTTGAGTCAATTACTGGACAGTCAGTGAAACAAAATCCAACGTTTCGA